TTTAAAGAACAGAAATTTTTACTATCGTTAGGATTGCATGTGGCGGGATTTGAACACGCGGTCTCGGTGTTTTAAGTCAACACCTCAATCTCTACGTGTAAAAATAATAGATTGGCGCTTACAAAATATGTTAGCGTTTGGCCGAGATTCTCCTCCGATTTGTTGCGTGCGCCTTGACGTTGTGCCACAAAGGACGTTTTTATGAGAAGCTGTTTTTCATGGCATAAATATGCTCGGAGGTTTCTAATCACTTTTTCGGATATTTATTTTTTTTTGGATTTTGGTATCGATATTTGCAGTATCGAGTCTTTTTATTCCGATATTAATGGTTACCCGATATTTTTCCAGCGATACTTTAAATGAGTACCATATCGATACTTTCGGTTCGATATCGTGTCCCTAGAAACAACACTAAGAAAAAGACCAATCCAAGAATAAAAGCAAAGGTGAGTACGTATATAGATAAAGAAAAGGATAAAGGCAAAGGTAAAAATAAAAACAAAAACAAAGTTGCGTAAAGATAAAGGTAAAAATGAAGACCAAGGTAAATTTAAGCACTTTACTTATATAAGGGCAAAGGTGAAGGGGAACATGTATATGAAGAATATAATAAACATAAAAATAAGAACAAAGATAAATATAAAGAAAAAGATGGGGATGAGGATACCGATAAAGGTATAGATGAAGATAGAGAAAGAGAGATTAAAATAAAGGTAGTTGTAGAGAAAAGGAAAGGGAACTATTTCGGGATTTTAGAGATTTTCGTGATTCACGGGACTTATCGTTGTAATAATCGATATTTTGTCATCGATATTTTTATCGATTTTGTTATCGAAATTTTTATCGCTATTATTGATTTCGCTATCGATATTTTCGGAACTTATCGATAGAGTGATCGATATTTCTATCGATTTTGTTATCGATTTTTCTATCGATTTTGTGATCGATATTTTTTTTATTGATTTTGTTATCGATTTTGTAATCTATTTTGTTATCGACTTTGTTATCGATTTGTTATTATTGATTTTGTTATCGATATTTTTATCGGTTTTGTTATAGAATTTGTTATTGATATTTTTATCGATTTTGCTTCCGATTTTGTTATCGATATTTTTATAGATATTGTTGTCGATATTTTAATCGATTTAGTCATCGATATTTTTATCGATATTTTTATTGATTGTGTTAACGATTTTGCTATCAATATTATTATCGCTTTTGTTATCGATATTTTTTGTCGATTTTGTTATCGATATTGTTGCCGATTTTGCAATCGATATTTTTATCGGTTTTATTATCGATATTTTTATCGATTTTGCTATCTATATTGTTATCGCTTTAGTTATCGATATTTTTGTCTTTGAACTTATCGAAATAATGATCGATATTTTTATCGATATTTTTTATCGAGTTTTTTATCGATTTTTTTATCGATTTTGCTATCGATATTATTATCGATTTTGCTATCGATTTTGTTATCGATATATTTATGGATTTTGTTGTCGATACTTTTAACGATTTTGTCATCAATAATTTTTTATCGGTTTTGTTACCGATAATTTGATCGATTTTGTAATCGATATTGTTGTCGCTTTTGTTATCGATTTTTATCGATTTTATTATCGATATTTTTATCGATTTTGCTATCTATATTGTTATCGCTCTAGTTATCGATATTTTTGTCGATTTTGATATCGATTTTGTTATCGACTTTGTAATAGATTTTGTTATCGATTTTGTAATAGATTTTGCAATCGATTTTGTTACCGATTTTTTAATCAATTTAGTTGTCGATTTTTTTGTATCGATTTTGTTATCGATTTTGCTATCGATATTATTATCGATTTTGATTTCGATATTTTTATCGATTTTGCTATCGATATTATTATCGCTTTTGTTATCGATATTTTTTTCTTAGTGTGTGCCTTCGTTTTTGACTTTGATATTCTCTGAACCATACCACGTATTCTACGTTTAAATTTAGCGGCTGTATCTCCGATACAGCCTGCAGACTTTTTTCCACGTAGATATGCGATGTCGTATTCGGCGCTACTCATCTCATTGGATAAAAATGAATTTAAAGGTATCCACACATCTATGCGATTCTGTCGGTGCGAATCTGCTCCGACAAAATTTACAACAAAGCCGACCATAGTTTTAAATGAGGAACCACACACTTATGCGATTTTGCAGCAGCGATTTATTCGAACATTCACAGTTTTTCTTTTGGTCGTGCCGAAATCGCAGACTCCGCGGTTTGAAAACGAAAAAGGTCAATAGAAGGATTCTACAATACTAAAACAAAATTGAACGTAAGGAAACAAAACATATTTGATGTGGAAAAGTTAAGAATTTTATTTTTTTTATTTTAATAATTTTTGTCTGTCTATAAAGTGACAGTTTTTACTGCAATAAAATCGCACAGATATGTGCGTACTTGCGTTTTCGAAGCAGTAACGTCTGTAGCATCGAAAATGGTGCGGATTTGTTGCGACAGAATCGCATAGGCGTGTGGATGCCTTAACTTTTAAGTTGCCGTTGTTTCCATGTCTTCGAGGACTCCCCTTTTTGAATGCTCGTGTCGCACATAACGGCGAATTATCCATTCTCAAGCATGCGTTTGTTACTTCCTCATCGAAAACTCGTGGAATGTTCGAAATTTTATTTATAGACATTCTGCTGCAGTTACCAACTACTTCATTGGTCAAAATGACTCTGGGCAGCACGTGGGAGCGAATTCTCAATCAGTTCGCAGCGCTACACTGATATATACATTTAACTTGTACGCGGTCAGGTCCAACTTGCTAGAAAGTAGTAGGCGGCCTTCAAGCATGTCGCTCATCCTGGCCTGGTTCAACGTCCCGGGTATAGCTTGCCCAGTAATTACCGCTATTGGGAGCGTTCCGGCGTGCTACTACTACACTCACCGTTGCTGGACCTGTCGCTCCGCCGCTACCGAGACTCACCCGCTGTGCCAGTTATCACGCACCGCTGTTAGCTCCCAATCCATAGCAACGAACGTCTCCGTCAATATCTCCCTCCTTGGACCCAAGATTGTCGGCACTCTAGTTAAAAAGACGTGTTCGACTTAAATACGCTAAAGTACTGTATTTTATTAAACTAAACATTAAAACTCTCATTTTCCACTCTCTCGTAGATATACCTAGTAAAAAAGATAAACTGATTGAAGAGTGCCCGCACCTAACTGAGGTCCTACGCGGGCAGACCTTCTATGTCTTCGTGTGCGAAAACCGTTGATCAACTCGTGATCCGCGTTCCGTACAGTCCTTTCTTCCTGCCGATGCGGCATACCAGCCAGCTGGAAGCCACCATCTCAAAACGAAGGCAATAGAGCGTAGACCAAGCCAAACTCGAGTGCGCCAACCCCCTACTATGTGCAAGTAGGACTATCTGGAGCGCAACTGCGATGACGTACGCGGGGAGTACCGCCGTCTTGTTAATCGGGCTGAGTTCAGGACAACTGAGGAGCTGATCGAACTCACCGAATACGAGCCCCTGAAGAGTGAAGAAGCCAGACAAGGCAAGCAGGAAGCACACAGCCTGTCCCCCTTGGACGAAGAATAACGTAGAAAGGAATCGTGTTGGCGATGCAAAGGGCGCGCACATCGTCATTTCAATGCCGAGAAGTTAATAAACTGTCCTTCTTCAAGTGCAGCCGAGATAATGTCCTCTCCAGAGACTGCCAATGCGACGCCGCCAAAATCTCCGGCGCGGAACCACCCGCTGAGACACGAAATTCAGGGACAGCACCGATTATCATTGCCCCTGCGGACACTAACGCACGGGAAAATTAATGGACGTTTCTTTGCCAACTTTGTAGTAGAATAAATGAGCATTGGAGCACTAGGGGACCCCGGCGCCACGACAACCCATGTCGACGAAACCATACGTTCACACTTGGAAGATAGGAATATCCGACCTCGACCTAGCCACCACAATGTGCAACTAGCTGCGTTTCTAGCCTATATGCATACTCCGCGAAGATAAAGTACAAAGAACAAACAACGACCACGCTGGTTTTAGAATTCCCAAATCTTGCTGAGCGCATGATACTGGGAATGGATTTCCTCAAGGAAAAAGGAGCTGTCATCACGCTGGTGGCAAACAACTACCCGCAATCTCCACGTGGAAGCCGGACACGTCCGTCAATCTGTCTGCATTAATCGAGAGAGAGCACCTAAGCAATGGGCACAACAGGCATATAAACGAATTTTTGATAGACATACCATCAAAAGACCTCCAGTGGATTTACTAGGGCCAGCACTGCCGCCAAGCGCAAGAGCGGTCGTTGAAGAAACTGTCCCCGCAACCCGGCTGAAGTCGACAAGCTATTGACAGTCAAGCGAATCGACTCGTGCAAAAGCGCATACTGCTCTCCAATTGTCATAGTCCGAAAAAAACAAGCAAACTGGAGGATGTGTATGGACTACCGTCAATCAAAGCGTCCAGCAAAACGGACGCCTATCCACTTCCCCATATTGTAGCAATTCTCGACCAGTTAAGAGATGCCAAGTATAACTCCACCATCGAGCTGAAGACTGGTGGTTTGGCAAATAGCCTTGGCCAAAGAGTCGCGACCATACAACACATTCACCGTCTCATGAAGAGGACTGTGCCAGTTAATGGCACCCCCCAGCCACCTTCCAACGTGCCCTAGGTTCGATACTCGGCCCCGAGCTCCAACCGAAGGTATTCGCCTACCCGGACCACACACGCATCACGCTCAATGAAAAGCTCGGCTAAACTTTTAATGAGAATGTGAGCGTCAAATAAATGTATACACATACGTATATTTGTACATATCGTCGCTTAAAGTACAAAACCGCGTAACTGACATTTGTGCCAAAAACATATTTGCTCACCGGAAGCCCTTGGCATCAAGCCCATATCCATATATACTTAAATATCGATACTTAGATATAAGAAGAAGAGATATTTAGAGATAAAAGAGAGAACCGTTTTGAAATAGGACTAGCTTTACTCTCTCCTACAAAATCTTGGCAATCTCACATTCATATGTACGAGGTTTTGCATTTTCGTGATACGCGGTTTTGTAATTTAAACGACGATATATATTTACAATAATTTTTTACTGTTTTATAATAATCATTATCTCCAATGTAATCTCTATATTTATGATGGTAATTTTTTTCACAATAAATTTTAAATCGCAAGAGTTCATTAAACTATAATCACACGTGTTTGAATTTTTTTAAAATACATTAAGACAAATGGCTTATGAACTAGTCGAACCCGTTGCTATCTCGACATACATACATACATACATATCGCTGGTCCTCTGCAATAACGACACAACTCAAAATTTCAATACTTTTGCAATAGAGTCAATTAAAGATTTTGCGTTTATATAAAAATATGGTTACTTATAAACCTAATCCGCTATATAAATAAAAAACATGAAATTTTGAGTTGTGCTGTTATTGCAGACGGTCGTAAATTAAAAAATATTAGTCAATCTTTCTTATTGTTTCTTTCGACAGGCTTTCACTTGTGCGCGCTTTGTGCCTTGGCGACAACACAAGTCTACTTATCCCCTTTCCCAAACAAGCTATTAACGAAACTACCAGAAATAAAAATAAAAGTACACCACCCAACACATCCAACAACAAATACTGATAAAGCGGCATGTAAGCGCCATGGGACTTCAAATGGCTTGCGCCGTTATGCCTTATCACATATTCCAGCCAGAAGGAGGCCTCCTGTAAAGCTATTGTGGGGTTATCTCTAAAGAGGCGCGATGCCTCCATGGCTTTACGTTTATATATGTCATCACTGATTAACATTTGTATATTATGCACTAAGTCTTCACTAGTAATTCTATCGAAACTCAACGTGCGTGCATATCCAGCACGTGTCACTTTCATAGCGTTGCGATGTTGATCACCAAAGAATGGTATACACAAGAGCGGTTTACCCCAATGGATACCCTCTTGGGTGCTAAAGATGCCGCCATGAGTAATGAATAGCTTCAAATTGGGATGAGATAAAATATCATTCTGTGGCAGCCATTTATAGATTTTAACATTTTTTGGTAGCTTTGCGTTGGTGTCGTTGCTCTCGAATTTCCACAATACATTTTGCTCGAGCCGGGCGAATGCGTTCAGGAGTAGCTGGATTTTTTCGAATGGAATGTCGGTGCTTTGCAAGTATGAGCCTAAGCTGAAGTAAATGACGCCATGTGTGGAGTTGTCGAGGTAAGACTGGAAGGATATTAGCATAGGTTTAGTGAAAATGCTGCAGCTTATGTACATACATATGAATATACATACATCCCTAATAGAGTGCTTACCTGTAAATCTTTTGGTAATGGTTTGGCTGGCTTGATATGTATGCCACCCACATTAACTAGACCGGGCATGCTGGGTCGAGGCGCGTCCACAGCCCGATGGCTATTGATTAGCATAAGCGAAATATTTTGAACAAGTTCACTCAATTGCGGGAGAGGACCTGATTGGGATAGTAACATTTATTACACAAGTGAAAGAAATACTTGATTGTTAGTAATTTTTCTTTGCCTTAATATTCCCCCCCCCCCCCTTCAAATTCACGCCTGTTTGACACAGTAAATAAGTATGCAGATCTAAGTATGTTACTAAATAAGTTGCATGACAAATCTCAGCAAAATCGTTGCGAAAAGATCGAAAAAAGATTTAGTTTTTCGTATTGATGATGATTAGGTTAGGTTAGGTCAACGGGCTGCCTCCGTATATGGAGGTCCTTGAAAAGAGAGGGGAAAAAGAGGCAGGGTGGTCGGAAAAAGAGTGGGGGGGTAGGGGAAAGAGGAGGGGAAGCTAAGGGTCGTCAATGACGTTCAGCCTTACGGCATGATTACCAATCACACAGTGACCAGTAAACACCCCCACCACTAGTGAGGTATGCAGCTTGCTTAGTTTCAAGAGCTCTCCAGACCGCCTACGGTCCACCCGTAGCCAGAAGGGTTTTGCCACCTTGCACTCCAAAGTCTTCGCCCAGCGCTCGCTGAGCTTACTAAACGCCCATCTGTCCAGAAGCAGACCACACGAGGTCAGGGCAGACCCCAGAACTTCCCTATCCGAGGGTTCATTGTCTTGCGAGCTCATCAGCCATGTAGTTGCCTTCGCTGTGACCTGGAACCCAAATAAGTTTAATAGCCAAATAATCGGACGCGGTCGATAGGGAAGTCAAACACCCCCTCACAGTATTCGAACGCACCCCTGCCAGTCTTCTCTCGCTAGAATGTGGGCGGTAAATGATCCTTTCGGACCCAGAACCGGCGTGCAGTTGTCTGTCCGAGTCGGTAGGAACCCGAAGCCTTTCAGAATACTGGAGTGCCCATAGCTCGAGGCGAACTTAAAACCCACTCCACCTAGACTTACTGCGGCGTGCGCAGCGCAGCCCTGCCAGCTATATCTATAGGCACAACATTTAACATGGCATTAAGCGCAAGAGTAATGTGTAGAAGTGTCCGACTGATTCCAATTAAGGCGGGTCCTTGCACCTTCTCCAGCTGCTTGCCGATGTAGGCCTTGTCTAGTGCGGTCCACCAGACGAGTACCCCATATAATAAAATTGGCTTGATTATTGTTTCATAAAGCCAATGAGCTACCTTCGGCGAGAGACTCCAGGGTTTGCCAATGGCCCCTCTACAACAATACAATGCTACTGTAGCCTTCTTGACTCTTTTCTCTACGTTAGGCTTCCAGGAAAGCTTACTGTCAAGGATCGAGCCCAAGTACTTCACCCTGTCAGAGAGCCTTAGAGGATGACCACCCATTGAGAGAAGACGGCAATTCGGTATCTTTTACCTCCTAGTAAAAAGAACAAGCTCCGTTTTACTGGGATTTACACCCAGCTCGCAACTAAAAGTAATGATCGATTTTCGGTAGCTCTCATAACTAAATGAAGGTTATTAATTATTTCTCAGAGAAACCAGATTATGGTCGATTTTACTTGGTGGTTAAACAAGGCTAAAAGAACGAAGTCAATTCCTAATCCAAGATCGAAAATTTTCATAGGGAAACTAAGGTTTATCAAGTTATAAAATCTATACCATTTCGGTATCCAGCTTTTCGCTTACGTTCCCATTTTCAAACCGCAGGTTTCTAAGGCTACAAGAAAGTTCTAAGAAATATCCATTTCACTACTGGGTTGTAGTTTATGTCCCCTCCGCGCGGTACACACTGAGTAAGGCTTAATGTTCCAAAGCCCCAACGGCTTATGGAGCGCCGGTTCGCCATGTTAGAGGGCGCTGGAATCTGTGCCTTTTTCGAGTCAGGCGTAGCAGGACATAAAAGAAACCTCACAGGTCCTAGGTGGCCATTTGGTGGATACAAAAAATTAGAACGAGAAGATTGCGGTGCAGAGGGTCGCATACTCACTATGGGGGGTCTCGCAGTGAGAGAAGCTGCGTTCGCAAGAGCTTACGCTAGCTCGTGCACTCAGATCCGCTTCATTTACACCCTGCCGATCGCTCGAGCCCGGATCTAAATGCGCGGTCTTCACGCACCGAAACGTAGTTAAAATTTTTAATAAACCGTCATGCGTTTTAAATAAAATCTACTTGATAGCATAGTCTTCAAAGGAATTATTCATTTAGTTTACCTTGTTCTGAACTACATACATATATCGCTGGAAAAAGTTCATATACTTTCCTTGGTCCTCTTTCTCAAGAACTTACCTTCAATAAATCCTTCAAAATATTTCCCAGCCATCTCCTGCATTCTCGGCATATAGTACCAACGCCTTAGCACAGCATCATACAGTGACAGATAAGTATTATAAGCTCTTTCAAAGAAGTCCATGCGATCTGTATGCGAGAGAAATAAGTGCGGAACAAATGACCAAGGTGTAAGCAGACCCATAGCGTGGTCCATATTATCAGCATAGCCCATGGTGCCCAAAGTCACAACAGGACATTTAAATTTATGCGCAAACATCAGAAAACTCTCGTGAAAGAATTGTTCCAAAACAATTAGATCAAATGTGAGATGCTTGCTAGCGATCAAAGCTTTAACTGCCGGCTGAGCGAGCGCATGCTCAGAGCTCAATAAGCCGGCATGCCAATATACATTCAAATTTGCGAAATCGCTGGAAAAACGCATTTTAAAAATATCCTCTTTGGAATCTGAAAAAAAGAAGAAGAAAATCATTTAGTTTGCTGCAGCAGTGTGTTAAGAGGCAACTATTTATGTACAGTAATATGTTATATCAAACTGTGGCTCAATAATGATCTGCGTTAAGTTGGGATGTGGCTGCTTGACTGGATGATTGGTTACCGCGGTGACATTGTGTCCGCGTCGCAATAGCTCTTGTGAAAAATGCTCCATCCACATCCAATGACTTGGCGCTGGGAAGGGACACATAAAGAGAATATTGTAAGCTACACAGGTAGAAGACAGCAAAGCTGCCGCGAGTAGTAAGGGCAGCGTTTGCCTCTGCATCTGCAAAAAATTGCCAGAATTTTTAGTGCTGCATTAAACTAAATGTTCACTTAAAAGTAAAAAATATCAAAAAAAAAGTATCAATAATGTTTTTTCGTCCTCTTTTTTTAATTGTTAAATGGCAAAAGTTCAGCTGATTGCGTGAACGTGCGTACATAAATTACTTATTTATTAGCATATCTCCGAACTTGCATTTTATTAGACGCTTGAAGCTAAGATTTCAATGTTCTCACACATTCGAAGCGCGTCTGGGCGTGATAGTAAATAATTATTTATAGTCGATTACGTACATACATATGTATATAAATCTAAAGTGTCAACACATGGTGATGCACAATTGTTTTTGTCCTGCGTCTTTTTTATTGTTTTTGGTTTTTCTTGCTGATATGGAAAATGCGCAACTAGCAAATACATACCTACGTATGTACATCTGTCCGATTAATCATTTGCATCCCAATGAACATGCTAGTTAAAGTTCAATTTGATATTATTCGTATTATGCATGCATGTACATATGTTATTATTTGATGACTAGGTATTAAGTATATATTGGAATACTCGATTTTGCACTTTTGAATCTAACCAACCTTAATCAGTTTTTTTTTGCCAGCAAGACTATGCTTATCTCGCCAGGAATGCACCAAGCCGTTAGCAAAAGCTAGGTCAGTAGCACAAACCCATAGTAGATATGCCTATTGAATGAATTCAAATCAGACAAGCCATATCAGTCGATTGATAGGCCTATCTATTTATTAGGAATTTTCTTAATCATTTATGCACTTGCAGTAGTTATTAATTTTATTTGCATAGCACTAAGTGAACGTATGTACATACATACATACACACAGGAAGCGGAGTCGCGCGGAGCGTAGCTTTCAAATTGCTATAGGGTTATTCCAGCGAAAAAACACCACAGGTAAACAAAAAAACAAATTGCGTTTAAATTTGTGACAATAGTAAAGCAGATAGAATAATTTTTCATACATCTATTTTTATCAATTTATTTTTCACAATTCCCTGTTTTTACTGTAGTAGTTTTTTATGAAGGTGCCAAGGCATTTCTCGCGTATTAAAGGTGACAATGCAAAAAAATAATTACCCAAAGAAATGGTTATTGGATGTCCCACCCGTCACAGCAAATATGTGTTTTTGAAGTGAAACTTCTTTAGCGGCGGTTGGTTGGTTGGGAGTAAATTGGCAAATTCAACGGAAATGGTGCAACGGAAATGGTTCGGGCTGAAACAAGTGCTTCTTGTGTGTATGCATATGGTATTAATTTAACAAAAATTTGCTAATAAAAGGTTAAAGAATAACACTTAGAAAAATACCAATACAAGAATGTAAGTAAAGGTGAGTACGTACATAGATAAAGAAAAGGATAAAGGCAAAGGTAAAACTAAAAACTAAAACAAAGATGCGTAAAGATAAAGGCGAAAATGAAGACCGATGTAAATTTAAACACTTTACTTTTATATATAAGGGCAGGGGATGAAGAAAATGATAAACATTAAAGTAAAGACAAAGAGGAGGATGAGGATCCCGATAAAGTTGAAAGTAGGTGAAGAAAAATTAAAATAAAAGTAATTAAAAAGGAAAGGATATAGAGAGAGACACAGAGACCCAATCTGGCAACTATTTTGGAATTTTAAAGATTTTCGGGTTTCTCGGGACTTATCGATAAAATAATCGATGTTTTTATGGGTTTGGTATCAATATTTTTACCGATTTTTTTATAGAAATTTTTATCGATATTGTTATGAATTTTGTTATCGACATTTTCAGGAACTTATCAATTTAATAATCGGAATTGTTATCGATTTCTTATCAATTTTGTAATCGATATTTTTATCTATTTTGTTAGCGATATTTTTTATCGATTTTGTTATCGATATTTTTATCGATTTTGTTATCGCTATTTTTATAGATTTTGTTAACGATATTTATCGATATATATCGATTTTGTTATCGATATTTATCGATTTTGTTATCGATATTCATCGATTTTGTTATCGATATTTATCGATTTTTTTATGGATATTTTTATCGACTTTGTTATGGATATTTCTATCGATATTTTTATCGACTTTGTTATGGATATTTTTATCGAGTTTCTAATAGATTTTGCTACTTACATTATTATCGATTTTGCTATCGAAATGTTTATCGAATTTTTCATCGAATTTGTTATCGGTTTTGTTATCGATATTTTATTGGACGTTACTATCGATTTTGTTATCGATAGAGTATAAAGATAAAAATGAAGATAAAGGAAAACAGAATAACGTAAATGTAATTAGAACGAACAGGGGTAGAGGTAGGGATCTAGATAGAAAAAAGAGAAAAAATATAACCTTAAGCAAAAGCTGATGTAGTATGTATGTATGTAGTATATTGGTGATGAGACAAAATAGATATGTATGTAACGTAAGTTTCACTTCTGCAGTGTGGCCCAGGCGCACTTACTTGTTTTTTAACCTAACTTACAAATACTGAACCTTCCCATTGCTTAAATATGGTCCTGTTATTAAAAGTTAAAAAAAAAACTTTCATATCAAATCCGAAGTGTTCATTTTACTAACGAACTAGTATTTGTCTTCAATAGTAACTCGTCCCACCCGTCACAAGCTTAATGAGTTAAGTATAATAATGCCATCAAAGCATAAACGGACCTTTAAATTCTATTGACAAGAGAAACACGCTATTTACAAAATATTTACAGTTTGTCAAAAATTGGGACACGAATCCATCAACTCAGAGATGCAGGTGTTTTCGTTGTCTCACCCGTAACTCTTGGAAAATGTAAATTTTCTTAGTAAATTATATAACTAAGTTTTATACTTAATGAGTTTCGTAATGTTGTTATTACATTTTCGGCAATTTTAACAAAAACAACGAATTTTATAAGATTAAGGGCTGAAAAAATCTTTTAAAATCAAAATAAGGTTCATATATTTCGAATTCGTTGCTATGTCACTTATAACAGTGAACTAAAAATACTTCACAAACTGTTACATTCTATATTTTTAAATATTTGAATTGAATGACCATTTCGCAAAATTTTTTTGGAAAGTTTTACTTCCAGCTCTCCTTAAAGGTAAAATTAGTAAGGTAAAACAAAATCCACGCTATCAGAAAAAGGATTTTCTTTTAATTAATTTTTGAATTCTTTAACCTAGATCCAAGATATACTGCATCTCGAAATTTTCCATTTTATCAACGCTTAAGTTATGGCTTATATATACCAAATACAACTAAAACTTTCTGGAGCCAAAAAAGTGCTAGATAAATTTCAAGAGAGCTAAAAAAGAGCTAGGAGCTAAAATCCAATTTTTGGAGCTAAATAGAAAAATAAAGAGCTAACTCTAGCTCCAAAAGCACCAAAATGGCAACACTAGCCTAGGCCAGTTGCTCACTTTGGTGAATACCACTATTATTTACATATATTCTGTAGGAAAAAATTATCATAAATTACCCAGAGATGATTTGATATGCCTTTTTAATTCATTGTTGCATAAATCCTTATGCATATGTGCATACATATGTAAACTTAACATTCACAATTATTTTGTAATTTACATCACACCAGAGAAAATTAACATTCTCTGATCACACTAAGCACAAAATGTTAGCTTAACAGAGCGAGCTGTATCTACGAGTATAAAATGCAGTCGTATTATAGGCGCCATAAAATATTAAAGAGAAGGGGAAGAAATTTATGTGCTTACTACACACGCTCAGACATATAATTATCGGGTAATGATGTGGCGTTTCAGAAGTTTTTGAAATGAAAAATTGGTCTTACAATATCAACTATCCAGTAAAAGCCAGTAATAATTTTACTGGAAAGCTAAAATGGCAGCAAAAATGGCAGCTGAACTTGCAAGCTTTACTGGACTTTTACTGGTTAAACAACAACCATTTTCCAGGAAGCAAAACAGCTGATGGCATGATGCTGAGTGCCATTAGGGTTGCCAGACGTACACCGTTTTGACTTTTTGAAGGTTACGTAGTTCGCCCATTTTTGCCCGAAACCGTTCACTTTCCGCTTAAAGCATTTTTGTATTGTTCAACTTTCACAGGCGATTAGTTGAATCAAAGTTTAACGAAAAGTATAATTTTTATTTGAAAATATTCTTATGCCATATTTAAGGCTAAATATGTATACATACATATGTAATATCTTTTTTATTTATATACACTGGCGATCAACACCGAGTGCATGGTGATTTTTTCAAATATCTACTATGTTTTTTAAGTAAATTTTTATAAATATACATTTAATGCTTTAAACTGCATATCCACGAATTCAGACTAAAATGTTCAAAATTTGTATGGAAATTTGTTGCATTTTTCTAGAGTTTGTATTAAGTCTGAAAGTTTGAATTAATTTTATGGTTTTGGCTAAAGCATGAAAAATAGTTTTATAACAAATAACAAAAAAAAAAATTTGCTTGAAAAACATTGTAAATATTGAATTCTTATTTATGAACGGCTTTGTTGTTCCAAAAGCGAATAAATCAATTTTTTGTTGAATACATTTAGTTTTACTTGTCCCCCAAAAAAATACCCCTTTTTCTTTCTCAGTTGTACCCCAAGTCCACCAATTTGTTCTTATCTGTACCACTTTCGGCATTTTAGGTTTGGCAACCCTAAGTGCCATTAATGATAACAATAATGGATTGGCGTTTACACAATACATGTGCTAATGTTTCGTCGAGCTCTTCCTCAGTTCACAAAAAGTACACACAGTTCACAAGAAATGTGCATAGATCATATGTATGCACATATAATTGGCTTGCAGCTAAAGCTGAAGGAATTTTTTGTTAGATAATAAGTTTTGTTGCAAAAAAACCTGCCACATATGCCAAAACTGTGGTCGGAAATACTTAGTTTTTGAGTTTTCTGTCAAATGATAAATTTTCAGTAAACGCGATATGGACACGTGATTGTATAGGAAAAAGATTTAACGTACATGTTTTTTGGTCGAACGTGGTTG